ATTCCAGTGTCTCAACAGATGAAGATAAAATTGTTTCAGTGTTCTATACTCTTGTGATCCCCATGCTAAATCCATTGATTTACAGTCTAAGAAATAAAGATGTGAAGGATGCTTTCATCAGGATGAGAGGGAAGATTTCATTAAATTAATACATTTCCTTTTCAAGATGAGTTTCAGTTTCCAATAGATATTAACCAAGAAATAAAATGTGTATTGGTTTCATTTGTATGTGTGTGTGTAATTGTCCTACTGCAGAGGTGGCAAACCTTTTAGAGACTGAGTGCCCAAACTGCAACCCAAAACCCACATATCAAAATGGCACTTATGGGATAAACAAATGAATATACTGCAATTTTTTGTGTATACCATGCCCCCAGAGTTGTTGAGCTTTTTGGGGGAGGATTGCTAAGAGTTGTTGAAGCTTTTTTTTGGGGGGGAGGTTGCAGAAAAACACTCACACGCAGAAAAGAAGCAGAAGCAACTGATTGTCTCAATGCTCAATGGCAGGGAGCAATCAACAAAAAACATTGACGCAGCAACCAACATGTGACCTTTTCATTTTCCTACACAAACAGTTTCACACCCACAGTAGTATGGGGGTAGCAGCACGGACAGAAACCAGCTGCTTGGTGGGAATGTTACTTCCCCCAAGGCTGCTGCGGGCAGAGAGTGCTCTAGGGAGCATTTCCACCCCGCAATGGCATGGGGGGGCAGATGTACACCTAGAATGGCAATGCTGGGGCGATGGCGCACGTTCCCACAGAGAGGGCTCCATGTGCCCACTCTGGCATGCGTGCCATAGGTTTGCCACCACTGTCCTAGTGGGTTACTTTTTTTTGCCTATTCCTCTCTGAGTAGTCAGTAGGTGGCATTAGTATTCCACAGCATGATTGGCTGTCATCTGTCGGCCCTGGGAAACAATGGATGAGTGTGCCTTCATGGGTGAAGTCAAAGTGCTGGAGATTTACAGCACCTGCTTTGGCTGTAGGGACTGATACAGGCGAGGCATGTTTTGCTGCTTCTGGGGCAGATGAAGGCATCTGCTTTTGCTGCTAAAGATGCACCATGGCATTCCTTCTTTCTGCACTCCATCCAGCCGTCCTTCCTCCTCTCGTCACTGCTGTGAATACACAGCCTGACTGTCTCCAGGCACTATGGCCACCTGCAAGGGATTCCCACACAACAGAGTTAATGTTGCCTTCCTGTCCTGTTTACAGACATCTTTCACAACACAGAGTTGGTCTGCCAATTGGCCTGGTGCCAGAAGCTAGCTCCTTTTGCAGCATGTCCTTAGGGATCCTGTTGTTTTCCATTCTGTGGTCATGACCAAGCCAGCATAGATGTCACTGAGAGATTCTGGGAGGTGAACGTGATGGGAATGTGGGTTTGGAAGACCACATCTTTGTTTGAGACTCTGTCCTGCTTTGCCATGCCCCAAATCTTCCTGATGCATTGCATTTGGGAGGTGTTGAAGCCTTGCTCCTGAAGTCTATAGGTTGCCCTCCACTCTCATGATATATAAATATGTTGATTCAGTCACTTTGGTGTAGGAAGGCGCTTTAACCTTAGGCGCCTTTTTGGGGTGAGGGGATGCCCCTAAAGCTGAATCTTGGGACTCTGGGGCCCTGGAGCTGGATTCACGCAGGGGAAACCTGCTTATTTGCCTTCAGGGTGTGGCATGGTACTACCACCACATCTCCACTTCCCACAGGCAGGGGTTGGCTTCCCTTATGGGTTTCAGGCTTTGCCTGGTGTTTGTAGTTAATTTCTGCACTTAGAGGGGTCTTCCCTCTGGAGGTTTTGATTGGTTTGGCCATCAGGTCACCATCACAATACTCACAGATATAAATGGTGGAATGCTTGAGCTGGGAGGGAGTGCTTTATTTTCTGCTCAATGTTACCTTCTTTTAATTATTTTTTTAAAAATATACTTATTTCATTTATTCAAAAATTTATACTTCACTTTTGAAATATAAATCAGAGCCATCATGGTTTGCAGAGAATCATAAAATTGTTAAAAGACAAAGAAAACAGTTCAAACTACTAAAATCATGGTTAGCACTCAATTTTAGTAATCAGTTAAAATCAACAGAGGGACCAAAAATAAATTAGTATAAAAACTAGGCAACCCAGACTAAAACACAGTAGAATAAAATGGATTTGCTGCTAATCTGAAGTTTAAAAGGCCCTGTCTTGCATTCCCAACCAATCATTCTTCTGGATATGAGACACATATTGAAAGCCTCTGAAGTTGAGCACAGTCAATGCACAGAATTGTGTTTCTTTGCCACTGACAGCATGGAGGAGATTACAGTCTCATCATGTTACCACCCTGCTCAGATAACATCAGGTATTTTATAAACAAATTCAAAAGAACCAGTCTTAGCATAGCTCCTTGTGTGACCCACTTCTTGCATCCCGTCAGGAACTGTCCCCACTTATTCCCATTACTGCTAAGCTTACTCAGGAGTCTCTGACTAGATAGTGCATGTTTTTGAATGGTTAACAACTCCTGTACAGGCTCTACTGTCTTGTGATGTGTATCCTTTGGAGTGTATCACACACAGCACACCACTAGAAGAATGATATTGCAGCTTGAGTGCCAAGCTGAAAAATGTAAGGTGCATTTTTATATATATTAATATTATTCAAAATCCTCCATTGAGACTGGGAAGAATGGAGGGCGGGAAGAATTTTAGCAAAGGAAATTCTCCACCCACATCAGTGGCTGGGGAAACTGAGCCATTTTGTTTTGACTAATATGAATTTTTTGAAGTGATTCTCCCTAATGTAATCCAGTTTTGAAGGTTATTTTCACTAATATATGTATTTTTGTACCTAAAGTCCCCCATTTTTCTTAAATACACTTCCCTTCTTTTCTTTCCCACATCCAAACTGATTTATTATACCCATTCCCAGCATTGCCAACTGGATTATTTCAAGGATGAGCTAGTGTGGGGACTTCCATGGAGATGAAAAGGTGAAAATCCCTGTAGTGGCATTGGGAATTTCTCAATCCAGCATTTTGTTTTATTCAGCCTCTGATGCAGCCTCCCACCCCATCAACTTCGAGAAATGATCCCTCTCGTCTCCACTGCACTGCAAATGAACATAAATAATAAACACCTCCTCTGGTCCACACTCTCCAGTTTCCAGTCCTGTCTCTCAGCACTCCAGCCTTCATAGGGCATCCCAAAAAATACTGCAGGTGGTGGAGGCAGCAGTGCTAGTCTCCTGCCACTCCAGCTCTTTAGTTTTCTCTACTTGGTTTCCAGCCCTGCATCTCACGCCAGGTGTGCAAATTGACTCAAAGCCCCATCTTCCTCTCGAGGCCAGCCCAGTTCTTTTTCTTCATCTGCTCTCCCTCCCACCACTGAGCCCTGGAGACTGAGGCTAATAGGGAGGGGAGGACGCAGCCCCGTGGAGATCCTATGCAATATTTTGCAGAGATGGGAGTTAAATTGGGAGAGGGAAGGAAGGCAGACTCCTCAGAGGATGTATGCAATAATTTGCAGTTGATTCCAGCTGGCCTGAAGCTGACTAGCTCCACCTGCAGTCTTCTTTAAAAAATATATTTTTTAAGACACTCTTGCCCACCAGTAGATCCAGGCTCTCCCACTGCCACCTGGAAAAAGCCAGGCAAAACTGGAGACTTCAGGTCAGCCCTTGGGGATCATACAGCCCCAAATCTTCCCCCTGTATATTTTCAAATTCTATACCAACACAATGAGTTATGCATTTTACTGTTCCCCTCTATTATAGAATCATGGAACTGTCAAGTTGGAAGGGAAATCAGTCCTGCCCAGTGCCATTTCTGCATCTGTACAAACAAACTTCTTTTCCAAAATTCAAAGGGAGATCTTCTTCCTGTGAAACCCCACAGAAGCATGACATGGACAGAACTCTGCCCCTCAGTTGAAGCTCCTCTAGTCCTTACCCCACCAGGCAAAAGGGGCCCCAGCCTATTTCAGCCTAAAATAAAACCCACTGCAATTCACACAATCCTGTGCACCAATTGTGATCAAGCTCAGAGGTTCTTTTGTGTGTCTCACCATGCTGAGAAGCGTAACTGATTGGGATACAAGACAGGGCCCTTTCTTTCTAAGCACTCTCCTGAGAGACATTCATCTTATCTCCCCACTTTCAACTTCAGATTAGCAGCTAGAACCATTTTACTCTGCCTAGTTTTTGTGTGGCTTTATTTTACCCTTCTGTTGGTGTAAACTGTTAATTAAAAGTGAATACAAAAATTGATTTTAGCAGTTTGGACTATTTATATTGGCTTTTTAAGATGGGAGCCACTGTGAATTAATCTGATAAATGCCGTATTTTTCGCTCTATAACACGCACCCAACCATAACACACACGTAGTTTTTAGAGGAGGAAAATCCGTAGGTATGCCACCCGTAGGCATTCCCTCCATAACATGCACAGACATTTCCCCTAATTTCTAAGAGGAAAAAAAGTGAGTGTTATGGTGCAGAAAATACGGTAAATGTGAGGTATAATTTTTAAAGTGAATAAAAGAGAGTCACATAGAGTGGACAAAGACCATTCACTCACAGTCTAGTAGTTCCAGTATTTAGATCACTGAGTACTGCTGTTGTGACCTGATGGCTGAATACAAAGTCAGACACTTTAGGTTGGCTTTCAAGCCACTTTATTGATTCTGAAACCAAACCAATCAAAAGCTGCAGAAGGAAACTTCTGTAAGTGCAGAAATCAACTGTAAACTCCGAGGGGAGCCCCTGGGCCAAAGAGTCCAAAAAGCCAGCCTTGTGGCCAACTCCTAAGAAGATCGCTTAGGCTAAACTTGCTTCCTGCACCTAACCACCAAAAGTGATTGAATCAACCCGTTTACACACTATGGACTACAACTGCCACTCAGCAGGTGTAGACAAACAGGCAACTCAGTAGGCTGTTCACAAAAAACAAATACACATTTTCTTTCTTGGTTAATATCTATTGGAAACTGAAACTCATCTTGAAAAGGAAATGAATTAATTTAATGAAATCTTCCCTCTCGTCCTTATGAAAGCATCCTTCACATCTTTATTTCTCAAACTGTAAATCAATGGATTCAGCATTGGGATCACAAGAGTATAGAACACTGAAACAATTTTATCTTCATCGTTTGAGACCCCAGAATTGGGCCTCAGATACATAAAGATGATAGTCCCATAGAAGATTGTAACGGCCATGAAGTGAGAGGCACAAGTGGAAAAGGCTTTGTGCCTGCCCTGGGCAGAGCGAATCCGCAGGATGGCAAAAATGATGTAGGTATATGAGATGAGGATAATCAACAAAGTGCTCATGATTATTGAAGTAGCAAAGATGAAATGCACAGTGTTAGCCACTGCTGTGCTTGAACAGGAAAGTTTCAGGATGGGAGGAACGTCACAAAAGAAATGATTGATAACATTTGAGCTGCAGAAGGACAGGCTAAATATGAATGAAGTCTGAGCAGCTGAATTTACAAAGCCACAAATATATGCACTTGTTACTAACACCAGACAGAGCTTTTTAGACATGGCAACAAAATAAAGTAACGGGTTGCAAATGGCAGTAAAGCGATCATAAGCCATAACAGCTAGAAGACAAGTTTCAACTGTGACAAACAGACAGAAAAAGAAGAATTGCACAGTACACTCTGTGAACGAAATAGTGCTATTCTTTTGTAGAAAGGTCATCAGCAACCTAGGAGCGATAGTAGTGGAATAGCCAATGTCAACCAAGGATAAGTTGCTGAGGAAAAAGTACATTGGGGTATGAAGGTTTGCGTCAAGAGCAGCTAGGATGATGATGCCAAGATTTCCTGAGACTGTGACAATGTAGATCAAGATAAATGCCAGGAAGAGAATGGTCCACAACTTTGGATGGTCCATGAAGCCCAGAAGGATGAATTCAGTCACAATGCTTTGATTCATGTATTCCATTATTTACCCCAAAGTTTCCCTAGGAGGAAGAAAATGAAATTGTGAAACAAGTACTGTATATATTTTTAATCTTCATGAAAATTTCCTAGCAGTTTAGTGCAAATTTCTTCTAATAAAAACATTTTTCTATGCAGTTTTGACTAATATGAATTTTTTGAAGTGATTTTCCCTAATGTAATCCAGTTTTGAAGGTTATTTTCACTAATGTATGCATTTTTGTACCTAATGAAGGTGGCATCATAAAATACAGGGAAGTTCACATTTCTAAGGATAGCTGAATTTTGGTTTGCATATTGGTTTAAGAAGTACAAATTAAGTCATTTCCACTAAAATGCAAACAAAATTCAATTTAACCTCCATCGCTAGTGGACCTCAAAAATCCACTCAAAAATCTGGGACTGATTCTGCCTATCACCTCCTATGACCTTAAGCCCAGTGGGAGAATTCAGTATCACCTTCCCGGCAGGCAAAAGTCCTTGAGGAGGGTAGGCTAATGATAGGCATTGTCTAGTGAGGAAGTGTTACCTTGGAAGGGTCCTATGGACTTAGAGTTACATGAGGACCACATTTGTCACAGTCCTTACACAGTCCTGTCACAGTCCTGAATGTCATAGTCCTGACATTCTTTACTCCCTTACATGAAGAGTGTCTGCATGTTACTATGTCACAGTGATTCAGTCTCCTGTTGGCTGAAACCATGAACAAAATGTTTAACAGTAATTGGAACAACAAATGCTCCTGGCTGGAATCTGTCTCCGGTGACATCTGTTTTTGCTAAAGTCACTTAAAGGGAAAATACTGGAACTTTCTCTGTTAGTGTTTTAAACAACGGGAAGACTGCACTGGATATCAAAACAGGATTTTCCAAGTACTGCACTTCAACTAAAGCACTCCTACCCAGCCTCTGCTTTAAACTGAAACACACACAACATTTATTCCTCAAAGTCAGTGTTTAAGATGGGAATTGTAGTCCACCAAAATAACAATGACAAGGACCTCTTTTCACACCAAAATCAGACATTTCAACTTTCTATATTACACAACAACACCATTTATTACCCCCCCCCCCAAATACCACTGGCTAGTTGAAGCCGCCTTTGTGAATCAATATAGCTCTATCTTCAGTCCTGGTTTTAGTCTGAAAAACTCATCCATTTTTCTTAAACATACTCCCCCCTCCCACCACTCCTTTCTTTAGCATTTTTTGTATCAGCCTCTGATGCAGCCCCCTCGTCCCCCCTCTACCCCATGAACTTCTTTAAATGACCCCTCTAGTCTCTACATGAAATAAAAATAAATAATAAACACCTTTTCCAATGCAGACTCTCCAGCCTCCAGTCCTGTCTCTCAGCACTCCATGCTCCATAAGGCATCCTGGAGATGCTGTAGGTGGTGAAGGCAGGAGTCCTAGGCTCCTACCACTCCAGTTCTTCAATGCACTCTCCTTGATTTACAGCCCTGCATCTCATGCCAGGTGTGCATGAACACTCAAAAAACCCTCTTCCTCCTCTTGTGACCAGCCCAGTTCTTTTCCTTCACCTGCTCTCACCCTGGAGACTGAGGTCAACTGGGAGGGAAAGATGCGAACCCCCCTGGAGAGTCTATGCAATATTTTGCAGAAATGGGAGGTAATTGGGAGAGGAGAGGAGAGGAAAGCAGACTCCTCAGAGAATCTGAGGCTGGATCTCCAGAGAAGCTGGAGAACTTTTTAGTTGCTCCAGCTGGGATGAAGCTTGCAAGCTCCCTCTTCAACCTTCTTAGTCATATCTGAGCAGGATGGTAACAAGATGAGATTGTCATATTGCTCTATGCTGTCAGTGGCAAAGAAACACAATCCTGTGCATTGACTATGCTCAACTTCAGAGGCTTCCAATATGTGTCTCATTTACAATTAATTTGGCTTTTTGCTCAGAATATATTGCTTGAATCCCTTTCTTAAAATTTTCTCCAAAATTCATTTCTTCAAGGACTTTTTTCATAGATTCCCATGAAATGTTATCAAATGCTTTCTCAGCATCTATAAACATCAATGCTGCCTGCTTTTCATTTCTTATTTTCAAGTATTCTACGATATCTATAATATTTCTTATATTATCCTTCATTTGTCTCCCCGGAAGGAAGCCTGCCTGGTCATGTTGTATAAATTCCTTCAGTATTATTTTCATCCTATTAGCCAATATGTAAGCAAACAGTTTGTAATCATTATTTAATAATGAAATAGGTCTATAATTTTTTATTGATGTCAAATCTGTCTCTTGTTTCGGGTTTAAAGTTATATATGCCTCTCTCCAAGCCTCTGGGACCTTCCCTAACTTTAAGATTTCGTTCATTGGAGCTTGTAATGCTGTTAATAATTGTTTATCTAATTTTTTATAGTATTTAGCTGACAGTCCATCTGGTCATGGCGATTTCCCCGTTTTTGCCTGATTGATTTCTTCCGATAGCTCTGTGGATGTCATAGAGGCATTTAATATTGCTGCATTCTCATCTCTGATTTTTGATGTTTACTTACTTTCAAATATTCCTCTATCTCTGTTTTATTTTCTGATCCTGTTCTATATAAATCTGTAAAATACTTGACAAATTCTTTCCTAATCTCTTTTGGGTTGTCTAGAATTTTTTCATTGACTTTAATTTTACTTAGAGTATTTTTTTTTGTTTAATTGCCATGCCAACAATTGCATGCTCAAAATATATTTGTTTTTTTTTAAAAAAAATTCCACTCTACTTCTTTACAGTGGTACCTCGGGTTACATATGCTTCAGGTTACATACGCTTCAGGTTACAGACTCCGCTAACTCAGAAATAGTACCTCGGGTTAAGAACTTTGCTTCAGGATGAGAACAGAAATCACGCAGCGGCGGCGCAGCAGCAGCAGCGGGAGGCCCCATTAGCTAAAGTGGTGCTTCAGGTTAAGAACGGACCCCCGGAACGAATTAAGTATGTAACCAGAGGTACCACTGTACTGATAATCATTGAATATTGTGTTTGTAATAGCTTGATAGCTTGCTTTGTACTCTCTTTGTTTGGTTTGTATATTAACTCTTTTTCTTTATTTATCAGGGCCTCTAAGATTTCCCTTGTCTTTTGTTCTCTCAATTGCTTTTGGTATGCATTTTGTTGAATTAAAAAAACCTCTTACAACAGCTTTACTGGCATCCCAAATCACCTGAAGATCTGTTCCTTTATTTAAATTTAATTAAATTAATGGATTGTGATCTGATATTTTTCTTGGTCTTATTTCTTTTTTTAAACTATTAATTCTAATTCTTTAGAGACCCACATTACTTTGATTCTTGCACTGCTTTTATGCACATATGAAAAAAGTGAACTCTATGCCTAATGGGTGCTTAAAGGTAAAGGGACCCCTGACCATTAGGTCCAGTCGTGGACGACTCTGGGGTTGCGGCACTCATCTCGCTTTATTGGCCGAGGGAGCTGATGTACAGCTTCTGGGTCATGTGGCCAGCATGACTAGGCTGCTTCTGGCGAAGCAGAGCAGTACACAGAAATGCCATTTACCTTCCCGTCATACCTTACCTATTTGCACTTTGACGTGCTTACAAACTGCTAGGTTGGAAGGAGCAGGGACCAAGCAACGGGAGCTCACCCCATCATGGGGATTCGAACAGCTGACCTTCTGATCAGCAAGCCCTAGGCTCTGTGGTTTAACCCACAGCACCACCCGTGTCCCGAATGGGTGCTTAGTTCTCCATATAGCTGTCAAATTTAGGTTCTCTACCATGTCACAGAATCTTGTTGGGAGTCTCCCTTCTTTAGTGTCTTTTTCCATTTCAAGTGAAAACACCCTATTTAAATTGCCCATTAAAATCATTTTCTGATCTGCACATTCCAATAATTCTGTCATTCATATATATATATATATATATATATATATATATATATATGCTTTCGTAGATTTTCACGGGTACAGGAATGCAGGTTTTGGTGTCCTCGGGTGTCTTCCCGTGTAAAAGTTGGGGTGTCTAGGCGACGTTTCGACGAGGTCTCACTCGTCATCTTCAGGCTGGTGCTTTCGGCTTCTTGTTACTGGAACAGAGCAGGATCTCAGTGTTTGAGTTCCTATAAATACTGTTGAGGGGGTGTGGCTATACACCACACCCCCTCAACAGTATTTATAGGAACTCAAACACTGAGATCCTGCTCTGTTCCAGTAACAAGAAGCCGAAAGCACCAGCCTGAAGATGACGAGTGAGACCTCGTCGAAACGTCGCCTAGACACCCCAACTTTTACACGGGAAGACACCCAAGGACACCAAAACCTGCATATATATATATATATATATATATATATATATATATATTCTGCTCTCTTTTCATTTGGGGCATAGATTCCAACTAATAGAATTTTTTCACCTTGTACTACAATCTGTACTATGATCACCCTTCCTTGTTTGTTTTCAGGATTTGTTTAGGCTTTAATTTTGATTTAATGTACAAAACCACGCCTCGTTTTTATTTATTTATCTGCTGTTATAATTTCCATTCCTAATTTTTTATTGATTAGGACCCTTTTACAGTATGTCTACATGCTATGTGGGTCTCTTATAAGCAAATTACATCTAAATTTTGTTTTAGAATTATATGTTCACTTTTATTTCTTTTTACTTCATAGTTCAAGCCATTTACATTCCAGCTCCATACCTTTAGATCTGTCATTTTATTTATCTGTTTTCTTTTCCCCTAGTCTTATCTTTTCCTCCTCTTGGTTATTTTAATTATCTATCCCCCCCCGTATCTCCTTCACCTGTTCCCCCTGTTGCTCCAACCGGTTCTGATGGTGTATATGGGTTATCAAAATCTCTGCCATATCTTTGGCAGAAGTCCTGTGCCTGCTCTGAGTTTGTAAGTCTGTGTCTTTGTTTCTTGTATGTAAAGGAGATTTCTTCTGGAAACTCCCATCTGAATTGTATGTTAACTCTAGTCAAAACATTTGTCAGGAATTTGTACTTTTGGCATTTTTGTAACAAACGGGGAGGGATTTCTTTCAGCATGAAAATCATGTTTCCATCAATCTGGAGTCTGTTTTCATAATTATTCTGGACTATAGCGTCCTTCAGCTTTTTAGAATTAAAGATCACCAAACAGTCTCCAGGCAACTCCCTTGTTTTAGCAGATTTAGTCCTCACATGATAACAGCTGTCCATTGCTTCTGCAATGTAATCCTGTTCTTCACCCAAGCATTCAGCAATTACGTTGGCTAGGTAGGTTTTAAGATCCAATTCCCCCTTGTCTGGGACACCCCTTATTCTTACCACCTGGGATTTCTGCCTCATCTCTAAAACCGCTACACAATCTTCAAATTGATCCGGTCTACCAGAGAGTACCACAATATCAGCCCTTATTGTCTCCTGTTCCTTCTTTATGTCTGCATTCTCACTTGTAATTTTTTTGAGATTTAGCCTCTAATACTTTCACAGAAAGGTCCAAAGCTTCTGTTTTGTTTGTTTGTTAAATTTTCCAGTTTGTTGGAGATTTCTGTGACCATCTCAGTATTTTTTCCCAATTCAGCTACCACCATTTCAGACTGTTTTCACATTTCTTTTAACATATCTTTTTAAAATTCTGTCAGAAAATCTGCCATTTCTGGAGAGACAGGTCTATCAGGTGTCTCCTGCATAGATCCTCTTCTAGCCACAGGAGCCTGTTTCTTAGTTGTCATTCTGAGTTGCACTACTTCTATACCAACAAAACTTCTTTTCCCCCTCAAAGCAATAATTCTTTTAACGCTATCTTATCACCCCTCCAAGGTCATAATTCCCCCTTGTTTTGTTCCTACTGCCTGACCTTAGTTAGAGCATACAGAGTGAAAGAAAAAGAGAAAGTATCATATAAAGGAGAAGGAGCAGTTCAGTAGTACAAATACCCTGGATTACAAAGACATCTCCAGAATGTAAAAGTAGAGATTGAAATTTTGATTAATCCTCTCAACATCAGTCTGTCACCATCTGTTGGAGCTGTTAAAGAAAAAGGCCACAAGAGTAAAGATTAATTTTCTCCAGTCCAAGTAATGTCCTCTGCCTTCCTTTTGTAGTCAAATGTAACTTTCATCCAAAATTCTAAATGCTCTGGTCTTCACCAATCAATTTATTTAACTTGACGATGTGCAAAACCTCCAGCTATTTCCAGGCACTCACCCCTTCCTCCTTGTTTCCAAGGTTAGATAAGTGTTCCCCTGCATAGCTTTGGTTTAGATTGTGAAGATCCAGGTATTTTCAAATAATTCCAAAGAATCCAGTAATATGTTGTCCAAATAAAAGGAAAAAGGAAAAAAAGAAAAGAAAAGAAAAAGGAAAGAAGATTCCGGTGCTCTGGTCTTCACCAATCGTTTTATCTGGCCTGACTACAAGCCAAACCTCCAGCTATTCCCAGGCACTCACTTTCCCCCCAAAGTTAGATGAGTGTTCTCCTGCGTAGCTTTGGTTTAGATTGTGAAGATCCAGGTATTTTCAAATAATTCTGGAGAATCCAGTAAGATGTTCTCAAATCTAGGAACTGTCACTTCAAGTTCAAGATCAATATTATATCCAATAGAGTTCAAGTTCAGCAATCAAGTTCAAACAGTATTAGCACTAAAAAAAACCCTCACAGAAGGTATTTCTCACCAGAGGGATTAAGGTAGCCTATAAGTCTTCCACTTACAAATCTTTCCCTAGCAGTAGGCAGATAATCAGAAAACAGAAGTTGACTTCCTTTTTGATTTCCGTTTTCAACAAATTAAAAGAAAAAAAGGAAAGAAAAGTAAAGAAAATCCCATGATGTTTCGGCTTAGTAAAATTAGAATAAAAATCTCCTGCTTACCATGGCAGTCTGAGACTTGGACTAATAGGTTTCGATGCAACCGCGAGAGCTCTCAACCGCTCCCCCACACTTGCCTTTTGACAGTGTTTTATCGGGGGCGAGGTAGCAGAACATCACGCTCTGCCGGACCCTTTGACGTTCCACAACCCCTAGTGGAACTTTCGGGGGGGGGAGCCTTGCTGTGGTGCTTTCCTCTCTATCCCCTGTAGGTCTTGAACTGATCAGACGATCAGTTCTGCGCTGCATTTTCCTATTAGCAGGAAACCGGAAGTGCCAAAAAACCACAAAATTTTTCCACTTGTGCCTCTCACTTTATGGCCATTACAATATTTCATTAAATTAAGTCAGTTCTTTTTCAAGATGAGTTTGAGTTTCGAATAGATATTAACCAAGTAAGAAAATGTGCATTTGTGTTTTTTTTCTGAGCAGTTGCCTGTTTGTCTACCCCTACTGAGTGGCAGTTGTAGTCCATAGTGTGTAAATGGCTTGATTCATTCACTTTTGGTGGTTAGGTGCAGGAAGCAGGTTTAGCCTTAGTGATCTTCTTAGGAGTTGGCCACAAGGTTGGCTTTTTGGACTCTTTGGCCCAGGGGCTCCCCTCGGAGTTTACAGTTGATTTCTGCTCTTGCAGAAGTTTCCTTCTGCATGTTTTGATTGGTTCAGTTTCAGAATCAATAAAGTGGCTTGAAAGCCAACCTAAAGTGTCTGACTTTTTATTCAGCCATCAGGTCACAACAGCAGTACTCAGTGATCTAATAATGGAACAACTAGAC